TATGCCATTAAAGCGTNAGACAGTTTTTAATCACTACAAAAACATTTACAAAACGACAATTTTAAGCAAGTGGAACTGAAAAAACAACCTATCAAACTTATTGAATATATCACATTTATGAAAAGAAATGTATTGTTTAAAAAGATTTTTTTTAAATGATGAAATTTCGTAATTTTTCCTGAAATAATTTCAAAAAAATCCAAAAAGATGAATTATAACTAAAGAAAGTAACATAAAAAAGAATAGTAAAGTAAATTATAAATTGAAAGAAGCGAAAATGAATGAATTGGAAAAAGAGCCATTGGAGGAACAAGCGGAAAAAAGGTATATTACAAGTATGAATGAAGGGGATGGCGATGATGATGAAGGATGAGCGGGATTGAAGGACATCGGTTAGTAATAACTGGTCAGTTGATGGACACTAAAGTATAAATCAGATGACCTCATCTAGGATGGAATATGAAAGAAAAAGAGTATATGCATTAACCATATTTAGGAATACTTTCGTGCGTTTTTTTTTTTTTGCATAATAGATTGATCTTATTGAGATCATTTATCAGATAACTGTTCTGTTGTTATTGTTGTCGTTAAATGATTACGTGTTATCAATGCATATACGTGATTATATGCATAATCAAACAAATTGCTTTTGGAACGCCGAAAACAGAAGCAACAATTAAAGTGTCTTCTTCTTAGATGTTAATGTGGAATTAGAAGAAGAGGAAGAGGCTAAAATTAGAAATAGTTTGAAAAGGGTAAAAAAGTAATGGGTAAAAATTTAAAAAGAAGATGGAATGGACGAGAAGAATTTTGTGGAGATGACCTTTCAAGTTCATCAATTATTGACTTCGTGGCAGGAACCGTACGGTATAGTCCTGAACAGTAAATGGTGATTTGTTTCATAGTGATTTAGTGATAAGAAAGAGGGAGAGAAGTACAGTAATCAGTGATATTAAATCTATTACGAGAATAGATATTGAAATGGCTGCAAGTGAAAGAGATATAAGAAATGAAATGTGAAATTTTCAATCCAGGAAATGGGTAGTAACTTCTTCAATTGCAGCACGGAACGTTTCTTCCATTCTTCACTATCAAAAGTCTAAGAAAGGCGCAGTTGTCGTAATTCCCTCATAAAAATTTCTTAATAGGTTAGATGTTTCTATTTCCTCTCATCTTTAATTGTGCTATTTATAGTCCTTTAAAGGCACCTGTTATGGTTATCGATAAAGATATAAGTAATCTGACTGTTGATATTTGGATAAAGTAAAAGTTTTGTTCACAAACTCAGCTCATCAGTAGTTATATATTCTAAAATTTATGATGCAAACTTTTAAAATTCAGAATTAAATAAGCTATCTTTCAGTCTTATGCTGTATGGTATGATAGCTTGTGATAAAAGTTATATGGTTGATAAGGGCAGTTGCAAGATCAATGAAATACCATGAATATTGAGTAACAATTAAATACAGGTGATCAGGACCAATGATCAAATATTAACGTTGAGTGAATGATTTTGGAAACAACAAACAGTATTTCTTCCTGAATTGTTAACAGGAATGGGCATTCCTGCAAAACGAATTAATAAACAAATAATTTCCAGGCTAAAATGATCCTCTTCTTTAATTTTTATTGGAATTTAGCTGAAAATCTCACATAGGTTTTATTTGTCACAATACGGAAAGATTTGTTACCATCCGAAAGTAAGTGATTTTGTTTATGAATTAATTAATAGTTGTAGAGCTAATTTATAAAGTTAAGCATTGAAATTAAACTGTTAAATTTCCCTCTATTCCTTAACAGTATTTGGTAATGATAAGACGACGTATTTCATGATAAACCCCAGAAATTAACGATGGAAAATTATAAGCATTGCTTTTTCCTGCGGTTACTTCAAAATTTTATACTTTAAAATAAATTAATGTTTCATTTTCAACATGTTCCTCAATTATGAATTTTTTTTTCCCTATAATATATCAAACCATCATAAAACTGATAACACAAATGATAGATATTGACTGATAAATTAATTTATTGGACAAAACAATGAATTTATGAAAAAGAGGATCTTATCACAGTGTGGGATAACATATCAATTTTTTATCATTCATTTATCGCAATTATTCAAATGTAAAACATACAATACATCAAATCATTTACTTTGAAATTAAACTAATTTAGATAAACAATAAATTAGCTATTTTCTACTTTTAATTTCCTATAAATGCCAACTGCGTCAAACATTATTTCAGTTCTTTGGTTATGCTTTCGAGGATACTTTGATAAGCTTACAGCTTTTATCAAGCAAGTATTCGGAAATTTTTAATTTGATGATTTCTTACGCTAATTAGCTAATCTATCTGCATCCATAATTAACACCTACTAAATGAATCTCCTCAATGTTTTCCTTGATTGACCTGGATAAAGTAGAGAAGATGGAACAAAGTTG